GGTATTAAGCTAACTTGAGCCCCGATGAAATGGGATCTGAAAGCTGATCTGAGTTGACACCAATATCGGATAGATTCGGCCGGTAACGAATAATACCATTTCTAAGCTTTAGGACCTAGAGTCAAAGAAAACATTCGACATCGTAGTGCGTCGTCCGCACCATGTAAATCCATCCATGACGTATAATGTCCGAGGTGAGCGTCAGGATCAGCGTTTCCGTCATAGAGGCCAATTTGTGGGACTTTGACTTTTCCCGGCAACGGGCCTCTGGTCAACTCGGGTGCCAGAGGAGAACCGATTTCCATATAGACATGGCCCGGTTCTGACACGTGAGGATGCTGATAAGGCCTGATTTGAGTGGTTTGTCGGGCTTCCAACTCTGCCAGCTTCCTTCTTAACGCCTCGACCTCGGAAACATTACGTCGAGCGCAACGATTACGTTCAATTTGCATTCTTAGGTCAACCGGATTTTCGGTTTGTTGAAACAATGAACGAACTGCATGGGGAATTCTGGGGACATGCCTGGGATGACTTTCAGCAACCATCTCTGGTTGGTTTATTTCTGGCTGGTTCATTTCCGCCGGCAGTATGTTGTTCGACGGTGGAGGGGGTGGATTGTTGTCGCGTGGTTGTGAAGTGGCGTGTGACGCCGCTTGATTGTTGTTATCCCTTTGTATGGGAGGACCTTGCTATCTCGCCGAAGTTATAGGAGCAAAAGGTTGTCCCGGTATCCTTTGTGATGGCCCTGGCATGGTTTGGGCCAACAAAGCAGTGAGTCCTCGAGCAAATTCTGGGTTTTGCATGAGCGTGGCGATGTCCGGCATCACAGGCACTGGATTATGTTGACCGGTTGGCGGTTCAACAACACGAACGTCGCTTCCCATGGTTGTTGGATTATCCTGTCCGGACTGCGACATTCTTGATTTTTGAGATGTGGTGTGTATATTTCGAAAATTAACTCCAAATATCTTATGGAGCCCTTCTTCTAGCGCCAAAATGTTGATAAACGGATTTAATCAACGTAATTAATGTAAAAATAACAATAAAGATTGCAGAAAATAAGATTTTGATTGAAAATCTTGAAGTCGGTTACAGAATTGGGAAGTCGGTTTTTTAATGTTCACTAAGTCGGTAAACAAGGAAAAACCGAGATAAATATATGTGTTTTTATCACTTTTTGTCGAATCCGAATATCATGTTGGATGTTGCTATTTATAGTTATGCTTGGCACACATCCCTAGACAAATCGGCTTCGTTTTAATGGAGATTTGACAGTTTAGGGGCGGCCATGACGTAGGCAAACTTTTTAGGCAATGATGAGCATGGGCACTCCTCTATCTGTGTGACAAGCGTCACTTCTGTCGGATTGAAGTCGGTACAGCATTATGACGTCGGTATTTGGGTAGAATTTCAATCTTCTACGACTTCCCGACAAGCTACTCTTCAACCGAGGTGGCCTTTTCGAGGTTTCAATGGTTTACTCTGACAATCTTTAGGGTCTGCTGTTTTACTCGGAACGTCGTATGAGAATCGAGATGATATTTCCGAGGTGCCATATATCCTGTGTTGTATTATTAGAGGTCTGGTCTGGTTGAAGGGACGCTTGTGATATCTTTAATCTAACCTTTATTTCAAGATACTCTATCTTGATATCAACAAAACCACTCTGGGAAGAAGCTGTAAATAGCGAAATCGAGTCCATTATGCAGAACCATACTTGGGAATTGGTTGATCTCCCTGATGGTTGTAAACTTTAGGATGCAAGTGGATCCTAAAGAGGAAATATAAAGCTGATGGATCGATTGATAAGTTTAAAGCACGATTGGTGGTCAAAGGCTTTAAACAAAAAGAAGGGTATGATTTCTTTGATACCTATTCACCAGTTACGCGTTTAGCATCGATAAGAGTGCTTCTCTCGATTGCTGCTTTGCACAATCTTGAGATTCACCAAATGGATGTCAAGACGGCATTTTTGAATGGTGAATTGGAAGAAGAAATATACATGGAACAACCTGAAGGGTTTGTTGCACCTGGACAAGAGAGAAAGGTGTGTAGATTGATCAAATCCGTGTACGGACTGAAACAAGCTCCGAAACAATGGCATTTGAAATTTGATGACGTGATGTTGTCAAATGAGTTCAAAATCAACGAATGTGACAAATGTGTTTATGTCATGAGTACATCAAATACATTTGTGATTGTATGTCTATATGTAGAAGATATGTTGATCATGGGGAGTAGCCATGAAGTGATCATGGATACGAAAGGAATGTTGAAAAGAAATTTCGACATGAAAGATATGGGTTTGGCTGATGTTATTCTTGGAATAAGGATTATCAGAACCCATGATGGAATTGTCTTGTCACAATCTCATTATGTAGAGAAAGTGCTCAAGAAATTTGATGCCTATGACGGTGCAAATTCTAGGCGTATGTGTAAGACACCCCTTGATCATAGTATAAATCTGGTAGCCAATAAAGGTCAACCAGTGGCTCAGTTGGAATATTCACGGATAATAGGGAGTCTGATGTACTTGATGAATTGTACACGACCAGATTTGGCCTATCCGGTGAGTAAGTTGAGCAGATTCACGAGCAATCCCAGTCATGAGCACTGGAATGCTTTAAGAAGGGTACTTAAGTACTTGAGGTACACCCTTGAATACGAGCTAAAATACTCGAGATATCCAGTTGTACTTGAAGGGTACTGTAATGCAAGCTGGTTATCAGAATCGAGGGATTCTCACTCCACTAGCGGATATGTTTTCTGTATTGGAGGAGGTGCAGTTTTGTGGAAATCCACAAAACAAACGTGTATAGCTCGGTCAACGTGAAATCGGAGTTCATAGCTTTAGATAAAGCTGGTGAAGAAGCCGAGTGGCTTAGAAATTTTTTATCCGATATTCCATGTTGGGATAAGAATTTGCCGCCTGTGATGATTTACTGTGATAGCCAAGCTGCTATAGGTAGGGCGCAAAGCAACTTGTATAACGGTAAGTCTAGACATATTCGTCGTAAGATATAATACCGTACGCCAATTGATCACAAATGGTGTTATTTCCATCGACTATGTGAAGTCTTAGGGAAATTTGGCTGATCCTTTGACGAAAGGATTGAATAGAGATCAATTGGTAGTAATGCTAGAGGGAATGGGCTTAAAAATCCACAATGTAAAGAATGATCATAGTGGTAACCCTACCATGATGAGTGGAGATCCCACGAACTTGGTTCAAAAGGAAAACTAATCTATGACAATTCAGTTGAGCACTTGGAACATATGAATGTCCAGAGCTATTCCCTAGAGCACTCCAAGTGCAAGATGACCTGTTGATTGTGGTGAGGGTAAGTCATGTGGACTTTTAATGAATCCCTAACCTTGTAAAGGTGGAGTATGGCAGGATACTCTTGATTGGGAGGTCACCTATATAAGTGCGAAGTGAGGGACGCTTCAAATGTAAACACTTATGAATCCATTGTGTTGTCCATGGCCAAAACGGACACAACGATAGAACGGATGGAGTTAAGACTCTATTGTGTAAATGTCATTGACTCGGTGTACACTATGGAGGAATAATTCAAGGCATCATGTCCACTAGTCCGCCAGTGCATCCGATTATGTTTACAAAGAAAGGTTGAAAGCCAAAAGCTACCTTCTCTGATGCAATAGAGTTTTGTGAGGATTGAACACATAGTATATTATATTTAATTACACTCATGTGGGGGATTGTTATAATATTGATGAGTGTAATTAATATGTGGGTCCCATTGTGCAGAGGATGTGAAGGGGAGTTAATGGTGCCTGCCGTATTGTCAGAAGCCTGCAAAATTTTGTCAGAGCATTAATGAGGGCATGTCATTTGTCAGAGATTAATGGTCATCATGACAAATTGTCAGATAAGTTTCGGCCACCCAATTTATTGTGGAGCCATATGTGGAGTCTGCTCATTTTGCTCCATCTATATAATTAGGACTCATCAGAGGAATAAAGAAAAATAGAGAAAAAATAATTTATATTTTTATTTCTAATTTTAGTGCTCAATTCTCGACTCCGTTCTAGTTCGCCGGAGCTCGTAAATCTGGTGTGCTACAGATTTAGAGACGTTTGCCGTTGTATCTTTGAGGAAGTTACGTCTGAACCGTTAGCAGCCACACGGGGCATATTCTTCTTGCGGAAAGAGTTTTACTCGCCTCGGCTAAAATCTTTCTGAATTTTTTTTTTCAATTGTAATTTATTTTTTGGTTGTAATTTATTTTTTAGTTCGATTGTAATTTTCTAATTTTTTTTTTTTTATTATTTGTAAGAACTCAAAAATATATATCAGTTCGTAGGATTCCCGTGTATAATTTTATACCCGATTTCTAACAATAAATACCACATACTCATATTTGCTTCAAACATTTTCAAAGAAATCTAGAATCTTACTAAAAGCAGGGCCCAAACTCTGCCTTAATGTTGCATGTTGACATAACCTAGTCATTTGGTGTTGTCTTCATTGTTCTTATCATATGCTGAAGTCAATTCACAAGTCTGAGTCGCTCTTTCAGTATCAACATGTGTTCATTGCTATTCAAAAATTGATTGGCTTTCTATTAATACAAAGATTTTGTTTTTCATAATTAGATTAGATTAATTTTCCGTTGACTACTACATGCTGAATTTTGATTTATTTTTCTGCAAATTGTACGACACGGCCATAAGACTAGGAGAACTTCAGGCAAAGTTCAAATTACTAGTTGTATATGAATGGGCAAAGGTAGTAATAGCTCTTACCATTTTCCATTATCTGAAGTTTCAACTTCACAGTTCATCAATTGGTTTAATCAATATAATATATAATCTGTGTAATTTTGCTGAGTTTTATGAATTGACAGGGAACAGCGTTTGCTGATCTGAAGGGATGATTGTTCGGACGATATTGAGGTTAGACGAAACATGTCGTGAATTTAGAAATACAGCAGCAATTATGGGTAATTCGGCACTCCACAAGAAAATGGAAACCACTTCAAACGCGATAAAGAGGTATATTGTCTTTGCTGCAAGCTTGTATTGTACAATGGGTGATATTTTATCCTAACTGTTATATACTAAAAATAATCTCTAAATATTATATACCAACTTTATGAATATTAGAAACCGAAAACGAGAACAATTATGGCGCAATCCTCCGAGGATCGCGCGGGAAAAGACTTGTTTTCCTGATATTGTTCAGAGCGCAGAAAAGCATCACCACACGCTCCAACCCCACTACAAACCCGCCGTGCGGTGGTGCTCCATACCTAACAATTTTTTTTTTGTTAAAACAGACACTAATAATAAAAAATGTATATAAATTACGACAATTAAAATAATAATACATGCATTTTCTCGGAAAACACACTAATAATAGTAACAGAAGCAGGCACGTAGCAAATCTTTGTATAACTATATGGACCTGAAGGAATCAATGTATGTAGATATCGCCTCAGTCTCAACATCAATTCCACATGCCTGTGCACGCTCAGTCAAGAGCTCGGGCACGTGAACACGCTGAGCCCCTGATATAATTTCCTCACCTGAAAAAAAAAAGGTACTCGTAAATTTGTTCAAAGATGCAAATGTGACTTTCAAGAGATTGAGGATCATTAAACATTTATATACATTTCATTTGCTTCCTATAAATTGATAGTTCTAAAGTATTCCTTATAGTTAATTTGCACAATCTGTTAAACATGCAACTTAAACATTAAGAAAATGTATTGGCTTCTGCTTTCATGAAATTAGATTATAATAGGAATGTGCACTCAAGACCTGCAAGAAGCATGGGCTCCTGCATATCGATAAGTTGAATATTACCTCGGATGAAAACATCAAATGAGTTGCTGTAGTTTGGATTATCAACACACGGCATCGTATAGAATGGCCTTACACCCAAAGGATAGCGGTGAAGGATAAAGAACTCAGTGTCATACCTACAATCACAAAAGTACAATAAGCTGAACCTTCACAATTTTCCCCTTGGATCATCTCTTTCATTAGTTGGAAAAAACATCCCAATTTTCTTTATTTTATTCTATTTCTAAATTTTATTGCCATTTCTAATGACAAGTACAATAAGCTGAACCTTCACAATAGTTTTCTTCTATTATGGTAGGGTTAATAACAGTTTAGTTTTCTTCACAATAGTTTATCCTTTTAAAGTCATCACAACCCATGGTTTGTTTATCAGGAATGGGTAAGTTGACAATGAAGAGGATTAAATGATGACCCAAACAAGTTAATACAAAGATACAGAAATGAAGAGAAACAATAAGATAAAAATTGTCATACTTCTCAAGTACAAGCTGGCCAAGCTTTCTCTCTGATTCTGTGTTGAGATCTCCAATGGGATCAATTTCAACGCCAGCTTCCTTCAATGAAAATCCAGAATTTGTTGATAAAAAGGGATAAAAATTCAAAAGTGTTAGAAGAAAGCATAAACGTTTAAAACGTTAATAATTGGTACTCATGTCCAGTCACAAAATTACATAGATGTGTCTCTCAATGTGTGCAAGGTGTGTGAGTCATATAGCTATATTAGTGCTTATATTACAATTTACAAAAATGCATGTGCATGCACAATCTCAGGCAAAGTGAATACAGCGAATCTCATTATCTAAGGGAGGGAATCAGCCAAACATTTCAGCCAATGTTCCATTCTATGTTCTTATATCAAACAACAATATACAGATATGTATGCCAAAGCCATGCTAACATATTACATTGCAAATAAAAGCTATTACACATCATTCAACACTAATTTCATGTACAGTTCCTTGTTTCATGTTGCATTATGACTGCATACCAACTTTTTTTTTTTTTAAATTAACATATGCTCAGGTTCATAGTTTAGTATATTATTGACTCTCCTAGCATTTTCATACAAAATCATAGAAAATGACAAGAATATGAAGCCTTGTGAGTCTACAACCATTATTCCTGCACCAGGGAGCACTTTAAGAATATCAAAAACGGATCTATACTACCAATTCTACAAGTATATAAATTATAATATCTAAAAAAGTACCAATCAACTCATTTGAGAATATCTAAAAAAGTACCAATCAACTCATTTGAGTGACCTAGATCGTAAGCCAAAAACATTAACCAGATCAGCCTGATGTCTTCACCAATTTATTTTAGAAAAATGATTTGGATATTTATTTACAGATATACATCAACATTCATCTTGTTCTCTCACCTTCAGCATTCGCACCCCTTCTTCAAAGGTAAGCCGTAAGGTCTTGCGCAAATACTGCATATTCAAAATTTATTGAGTATCATTGAATAAATAAAAACAAGATAATAAATTTATGGATAGACGAATAGCACCAAGATAATGGACTACCCCGAGGGATAATGCATTTTCTCAGTGATTTTAGATCACTACTACTTAATATAACAATAAATAAATAACATAAAATTGATCGTGACTCAACCTTCAATTTCTGAAAAGGATATTGCCTATTGATAACTTCAAGCTCCGTAGAACATGTCTCATTCAAACTGTCAAACATCGCCACAAATAAGCGATCCACAACATCCATCACCTGCACAAATGATCCCAGATCATATCTCACAAAACCCAATCTACACAGTAGGTTGAAGCTAAGAAAAAATTATGCATACTTCTGAATAGTGCTCCTTAATCTCCATTTCTACATCAAGACCTGTGAATTGACACAAATGCCTGTGTGTGAATGAGTCCTCTGCCCTGAAGACTGGTCCGATCTCAAATACATGGCCAAAACCACCACAAGTAGACATTTGTTTATGAAGCTGAGGTGATTGTGCCAGGCACGCAGGTGTTCCAAAGTCATCTAAGCTGAAAACAGCTGATCCACCTTCACTAGAACCAGCAATTAATTTTGGCGTGTGGATCCCCACAAAGCCTTCAGACAGCAAGAACTGCTTAAATATCTGCATGAACATGTAATAACAGTGAGGATCCCAACAACACCAGAGTTCAGACAACAAAGCCTTCACAGACATATAAATTTATAGGTTCTTGAAATCAAGACTGGGTCATTAAGGTAAAGAAGACAATGTGAGAATATGTTTACGAGAAAAAACTCAGTGTACATCATTTTATATGAACAAAATAAGGGAATATATCAATGTATATGTATTGAATCAAGTAATTAGAGTAGGCATATTCCTAGTTGTATACTCCTTAAGAATGTGAAATATCCAAGGAAACAATCTAAATAATTTCAAGATATGTGTTAATGTGTGAACATGAAGGCTATGTTTGATAGCCAAATAAGCTAGCTTATGCCCATGTTTGGTAATCAGCGGTTAGCTGATAGCTATTAGTTGTTTTGACCAGATGATTGTGTTAGCTGTTTGTAAATACAAACAAATGTTTGGTAAATTAGCTATTTCTAATTAGCTGTTAACATGTAAAATTACTAATAAGGACATCATCATAATTATTATTCTTATTTATGTTGAATTTATAATTATTTAGAAAATAAAAAATAATTAATATTTTAAATATTTATTAAAGTGATTTAAAATATAGAAAAATATAAATAATAATAAAATAAAAATATTTCTTAATTGATTAAGATCGCATCATATAAACAAAGCTAGTAACAAGTCATTACTATTTAAAAAATTTAAGCATGAGTCAATTGCAATACATCTCATTACAATATAAAAAAAATACCAATAATTAAAATTTACATCTAACTAACTAAAATTTACAGTAATAACTCCAAAAGTTCTCATGGGCATCTAAGTAACTAAATACATAATTTATTTAGAATCTTCTTTCACCACTTACTATATTAGATTAATTTAAATGTTTGGGTGTTCCTAATTTTTTTTTTCACTAGATTTCTCAAATTGTTTGTATATTTCTACAACTTTGGGATATTGTTTTAGGAGTATTATGTGATGAACTAAGATATATAATAGTGTTTCTAAATAGCTGCCTATATATGTTTAAATTTTTAAAAAATAGTTAGTTAAATTAGTTGTTAAGTTATACTATAATTAGTTGGATTGAAATTTATATAGTTAAATATATCTTTTATATTACATCAATTATAATTTTGAAAAACTAAATATTATTTACATAGGTTTGAATAAAAAAGTATCACGATTTTGATTAGTTTTTTTTTCTTGAAATTGTGAGATGTGAGAGAATTGTCTAATTTATAATGAGTGGGGCAATTAAGACTTAAATTTTTTACCATGAACCGCTAAGCCAAAACGCTGCAAAAAGCAGCGTTTTTCATTTTGGCGGAATGGATAAAAACGCCATTCACAAAAGTAGTTTACCAAACGTTGTTTTTAGCGGATTGTAAATAGTCAAACAGAAAAGAGCTGAAAGCTCATTTACAGCCAAAACGCTATTAAACAAACGCATTCTATAGCTTATTTGGTTAGCTTATAAACTCCTTGTATTCAAATAAACTTTGTTTGGTAACTGTTTTATAAACCTCGAGCTTATCTCATTAGCTTCTTTGGGTAGCTTTTCAAATAAGCTCGTTGAAATTTTTATAGCTTATCAGCTAATTTAACCCAACACTTTTATCATGTAAGCTAGCTTTTCAACTATAAGCCGTATGCTATACAAGCTATTAGCTCGAAAATCATTTATAAACTTATTGGCTAGTTTACCAAATATAGCATCGAGGTCTGCATTACTTGCAAGATTCCATAAGGATCAGAAGTTCAAATCCAAACAATAAAAAGCTGGTTGCATAAAGGTTTTATAAAAGTGGAGTACCATTTTTTGTTAAGAAATAGAGAAAAAGGAAAAGAAAAAAAATGGAAAAAGGAAAATAACCTAAACACACACACACACACACTAAATAAAAACAAGTATACTTACTTTCTTAACTTGTAACTTAATTCTGAAAATACCCTGATTAGCGGGGGTGCGCAAGTCAAGAACCCTATAATTCAAACGAGTGTCCTGATTTACACGCACAAGCTGCTCACCTGCCTGCATTCAGAAAACACAAATCAGTTCCAAGTGCAATGTTGTACTAAAAGGACAAAGAGATGCCTATAAAAATGAGTAACATGTGCATAAACATAGGAAAGTACCTCAAGAGCCTTTTCTATTTCGACTTCACTTTTGGACGCGTCCTCAATATTGATGGGCAGTGTGGGAATAGCCTTGTTCACACAATAAAGCTTCCTCACTTGAATCTCCACCTATAAGAATCAAAACCAAATATAATATAATAGACTAATAAAGTGCAGGAACATGATTGCATTTCCTAAAAGTACATTATAATGAAAAAACGATTCGATAATAGAAGAGCAAGCAAGTATCAAGTAGCCAGTTTCTTAAAATGCACGACCATGGTTGTATCTCATTCCTTATATTTTATACCCTGAGACCACATAAAATGCAAATGCAACAAGTAACCAGCTTCACGAGAAGCCACATTCACATAAAACAGATAAGCCACACACAATAAACCAGAAACACTTCCAATACTACAATGAAGGACCTGTCACCAGGTAATTTGACATGTTATCTAGTAACTATGGCCTATTTTAATTCCCGTAATATCAACAAATGCTTTTAAGCATCAAGAAGCTCATCTACAGATCATGTGGTGACTTAGAGTTCTGCAAGAACAAGACATTCAAAGTACTTCATGTCCTCTCAACAATTTTCAACACAAGCATGAAAAACAAACACAAAAGCATGCTAAAACGCTAATACCTGCTGAGTCGTGCCACTGATGGGATTTTCCGGCACGGAGACAATCCCTTCAACATCAATGATACTCTCTCTGCTCAGGCGAGTGGCGAACTTCACCATCTGTGGGCTCACCACATCCTGCGCCACACTCAATACGCACTGCACCGTAAACCCCTCCTTCCTCACCACCACGAACGCCACATTCTTACCCACGGCCCGGATCGCCTGCGCGGACCCCCGTATTAGCACCTCCTGGTCCTTCAGCCTGGCGGCCAGGTCCTTCACCTCCGTCCACTTCTTCCCGGAGATTTCCTTCGACAGCAGGTCGTTCAGCGGGATCTCGCCGTAGTTTGCCGCTAATGGGTCGGCTTCGATGGTCATGGAGAATACTGCGGCGACGGCGGAGGCTGCGGCCGCCTCCTGACGCTTGCGCTGGCGCTCCAGCTTGGCGAGCTCCTTCTTGGACAGTTTCTTCTTGGGGTTCTCCTCTTCGGGAGCTGGGTTTCGGAATGGCTCCTCCGACGACGTGGGTCGGTGATGGAAGAGACCATTGAGGCGAGTATATTTGGAAAAATGGGTGGTGGCTGGTGAATTTTCTTCACTTTTGCTGTGTGGAGATAAATAGAGAATGGGAGATGAAACTTTTGAGGGCACAATTTGTTGCAATGTTTTTATTTATAAGTTGCTTTTTTTCTTTAAAAGAGGATCAATCTATATCTAGGGCCTGCAATTTAGTCGAATGGATTTTCGAACTACTAGTATACTTTGATTTTTCACACTTTCATATACTAGCAGCACACACGGTACTCACAAGAGTACTCCTTTTTTTTATATTGTCTTGAGTTACTCTCTTTTCCACTCTCTTTTCAGCGCACACACAGAGGCCAAAGATTGTGAGATAAATAGGGTAAAACGGGTGAAAACCAATCAGGACAATTTTTGTGGAATTCAAAAAACAAGATAGAAACGAAAACTCTGAGGGTTCTGAAGAGAGATCGTTGAAAAACAGCAGAAGAGATACCTATTTCTACCAAAAAAAGAATGTACAAAGGTCTTATTTGGTACTAAAGAGATGGATAGGTGGACCGTGCCCCTGAAGATGTTTTTTTAAGGCCATCCACAAAGATCATCTGGGCCACAAAAATATTGGTTTACGTTATTTTATGAAAAATAACTTTACTTAATATACATTTAATATGTACAACAGTTTAATATATATAAAAATCCAACCTTTTAAATATAAGGACAGGTCACGAGTCGGAAAATCATCTTAAATGCTTTTTTGTTGAGAATTTGTTTATGTTTGTCACCAAGTATATGAGAATTTTTATTCAATTTTTGAACAGACACTCAAACAATGTGCACATTTATAATAGTAGCACAAAATAATGATATACAAAAATATATATATATAGCATTATATTGCAAATTTTTTAATTATATAAAATCACGATTTGACAATTATTTATTTACTTTGATTTGTAATAGCCGCAATAGTTGACCAAAATGATTATGTACATTAATTCCATTGATTATTTTAATTTGAATGGCAAATGATTGGCCGCCACTTTTCAAAATCTTTAAAAAAAGTTACCAATAAAGGTAAAATTGAAAATTTTTGGCAGGATTTTAATTATTATTTTAGGTAAATACAAACTTTTTCATATATATATATATATATATATATGTATGTATGTGTGTGTGTGTTTGTAAGATTGTGTTTATAATTATATATAATTTTTGTCAAAATTTCTCAGATTGCATTTGATTTTAACGTGGAAACTTATTTAAATAAAATATAAATTTGAGATAATAAGGTAAAGATATAGTGCAGAATGTTTATATCAAATCAGCCTATTAGAGAAATTAAATGATAAATTACTACTACAAAATTCGAACTTAATATAAATAGCTACTTAATCTGTGTAATTTTTTGTTGGTATAAATGATTTTTTATTTTTACAAACAATATTTGATTGATATTTCTTGGGAATTGTTCATTCAATGTTAATCACATGCCAAAAGAAATTTATCATTCATACCAAATGAAATGAAGCCATCACTTCCATTAAAATGATCGTTCATATTATTTTTATTATTTTTATAGATTTGTCGTACCAAAAAAATCATGTCAAGGTTACCTAAAAAATGGTGATCATGTATATCAGAATATAAATGACAGACAAATCTATATATGTATAATAAGAATAACCATTTACCCCAAATAGTATTACCAATCACAAATCCTTCGAGGATCGCGCGGGAAAAGACTTGTTTGCCTGATATTGTTCAGAGCGCAGAAAAGCATCACCACACGCTCCAACCCCACTCCAAACCCGCCGTGCGGTGGTGCTCCATACCTAACAAAAAATTAAAACAGACACTAATAATAAGAAATGTATATAAATTACGACAATTAAAATAATAATCCATGTATTCTCACGGAAAAAACACTAATAACAGTAACAGAAACAGGCACGTAGCAAATCTTTGTATAACTATATGCACCTGAAGGAATCAATGTATGTAGATATCGCCTCAGTCTCAACATCAATTCCACATGCCTGTGCACGCTCAGTCAAGAGCTCGGGCACGTGAACACGCTGAGCCCCTGATATAATTTCCTCACCTGAAGAAAAAAAATAAAAAGGTACTCGTAAATTTGTTCAAAGATGCAAATGTGACTTTCAAGAGATTGAGGATCATTAAACATTTATAAACATTTCATTTGCTTCCTATAAATTGATACTTCTAAAGTATTCTTTATAGTTAATTTGCACAATCTGTTAAACATGCAAGTTAAACATTAAAAAAAATGTATTGGCCTCTGCTTTCATGAAATGCAATTACAGAAATGAAATTATAATAGGAATGTGCACTCAAGACCTGCATTAGATAAGTTGTATATTACCTCGGATGAAAACATCAAATGAGTTGCTGTAGTTTGGATTATCAACGCACGGCATCGTATAGAATGGCCTTACACCCAAAGGATAGCGGTGAAGGATAAAGAACTCAGTGTCATACCTACAATCACAAACAAATAGATATGATACTATTACCAATTATATACATGATTCTCATATCGCTGCTTTTGTCAGTGGCATTTCCGTCCTTTCCCCTTGGATCATCTCTTTCATTAGTTGGAAAAAAAATCCCATTTGTCTTTATTTTTACTCTATTTTTAAATTTTAGTGCCATTTCTAATGACAAGTACAATAAGCTGAACCATCAGAATAGTTTTCTTTTATTATGGCAGGGTTAATAACAGTTTAGTTTTCTTCACAATAGTTTATCCTTTTAAAGTCATCACAACCCATGGTTTGTTTATCATGAATGGGTAAGTTGACAATGAAGAGGATTAAAAGATGACCCAAACCCGTTAATACAAAGATACAGAAATGAAAAGAAACAATAAGATAAAATTGTCATACTTCTCAAGTACAAGCTGGCCAAGCTTTCTCTCTGATTCTGTGTTGAGATCTCCAAGGGGATCAATTTCAACGCCAGCTTCCTTCAATGAAAATCCAGATTGTTGAGAAAGAGGATAAAAAGCTATAATTCAAAGGGTTAGAAGAAAGCATAAACGTTAAAAACGTTAATAAGTGGTACTCATGTCCAGTCACAAAATTACATAGATGTGTCTCTCATTGTGTGCAACGTGTGTGTCATATAGCGATATTAGTGCTTATATCATAATTTACAAAAATGCATGTGCACGCACAAATAAAAGCTAGTACACATCATTCAACACTAATTTCATGTACAGTTCCTTGTTTCATGTTGCATTATGACTGCATACCATTTTGTTATACTTATACCAGCTTTTTTTGCATTAACATATGAGGTTCATAGATTTAGTATATTGACTGTCCTAGCATTTTCACATGAAGCCTTGTGAGTCTAACACCATTATTCCTGCATCAGGGAGCACTTTAAGAATATCAAAAACGGATCTAAACTACCAATTCTACAAGTATATAAATTATGATATATGTAAAAGTATCAGTCAAGTCATTTGAGTGAGCTAGATCGTAAGCCAAAAACATTAACCAGATCAGCCTGATGTCTTCACCAATTTATATTAGAAAATGATTTGGATATTTATTTACAGATATACATCAACATTCATCTTGTTCTCTCACCTTCAGCATTCGCACCCCTTCTTCAAAGGTAAGCCGTAAGGTCTTGCGCAAATACTGCATATTCAAAATTTATTGAGTATCATTGAAAAATAAAAACAAAATAATAAATTTATGGATAGACAAATAGCACCAAGATAATGGACTACCCCGAGGGATAATGCATTTTCTCAGTGATTTTAAGTCACTACTACTTAGTATAACAATAAATAAATAACATAAACTTGATCGTGACTCAACCTTCAATTTCTGAAAAGGATATTGCCTATTGATAAATTCAAGCTCCTTAGAACATGTCTCATTCAAACCGTCGAAGATCGCCACAAATAAGCGATCCACAACATCCATCACCTGCACAAATGATCCCAGATCATATCCCACAGAACCCAATCTACAAAGTAGGTTGAAGCTAAGAAAAAATGATGCATACTTCTGAATAGTGCTCCTTAATCTCCATTTCTACATCAAGACCTGTGAATTCACACAAATGCCTGTGTGTGAATGTGTCCTCTGCCCTGAAGACTGGTCCGATCTCCATTACACGGCCAAAACCACCACAAATAGACATTTGTTTATGAAGCTGAGGTGATTGTGCCAGGCACGCAGGTGTTCCTTTGTAATCTAACCTAAAAACAGCTGATCCACCTTCACTAGAACCAGCAATTAATTTTGGCGTGTCGATATCCACAAAGCCTTCAGACAGCAAGAACTGCCAAAATATCTGCATGAACATGTAATAACAGTGAGGATCCCAACAACACCAAAGTTCAGACAACAAACCTTCACATACATATAAATTTATAGGTTCTTGAAATCAAGATACCTGGGTCATTAAGGTAAAGAAGACAGTATGAGAATATGTTTACGAGAAAAAACTCAGTGCACGTCATTTTATATGTACAAAAGAAGGGAAGATATCCATGCATATGTATTGAATCAAGTAATTATAGTAGGCATATACCTAGTTGTATACTCCTTAAGAATGTGAAATATCCAAGGAAACAATCTAAATAATTTCAAGATATGTGTTAATGTGTGAAATAGCTTATAGCTTATTTGGGTAGCTTATAAGCTTCTTGTATTCAAATAAACTTCGTTTGGTAGCTTTTTTACAAAGCTCGAGCTTATCTCATAAACTTCATTCTTTTCAAATACGCTCATTGAAATTTTTATATTAGCTAGCTTATTAGCTAATTTTACTCAATACTTTTATCATATAAGCAAGCTTTTCAGATATAAGTCATAAGCTATATAAGCTATTAGCTCGAAAATCACTTATAAGCTATCAACTAGCTTATTGGCTAGTTTACCAAACATAGCATCGAGGTCTGCATTACTTGCAAGTTGCAAGATTCCATAAGGATCAGAAGTTCAAATCCAGACAATAAAAAGCTGGTTGCATAAAGGTTTTATAAAAGTGGAGTAAAATTTTTTTATATGAAATAGAGAAAACGGAAAAGGAAGAAAATGGAAAAAGGAATATAACCTAAACACACACACACACACACACACTAAATAAAAACATGTATACTTACATTCTCAACTTGACACTGAATTCTGAAAATACCCTGATTAGCAGGGGTGCGCAAGTCAAGAACTCTATAATTCAAACGAGTGTCCTGATTTACACGCACGAGTGGCTCACCTGCCTGCATTCAGAAAACACAAATTAGTTCCAAGTGCAATGTTGTACTAAAAGTACAAAGAAATGCCTATAAAAATGAGTAACATGTGCATAAACAAAGGAAAGTACCTCAACAGCCTTTTCTATTTCGACTTCACTATTGGCCGCATCCTCAATATTGAAGGGCAGTGTGGGAATAGCCTTGTTCACACAATAAAGCTTCCTCACTTGAATCTCCACCTATAAGAATCAAAACCAAATATAATATAATAGACTAATAATGTGCAGGAACATAATTGCATTTCCTAAAAGTACATTATAACGAAAAAAAAAATTGATAATAGAACAGCAAACAAGTATCAAGTAGCCAGTTTCTTAAAATGCACGACCATGGTTGTAGCTCTTTGCTTATATTTTATACCATGAGACAACATATAAAATGCAAATGCAACAAGTAGCCAGATTCACGAGAAGCCACAATCACATAAAACAGATAAGCCACACACAATAAACCAGAAACACTTCCAATACTGCGATGAAGGACCTGTCACCAGGTAATTTGACATGTTATCTAGTAACTATGGCCTATTTTAATTCCCGTAATATCAACAAATGCTTTCATGCATCAAGAAGCTCATCTACAGTGCATGTGGTGACTTAGAGTTTTGCAAGAACAAGACATTCAAAGTACTTCATGTCCTCTCAACAATTTTCAACACAAAAGCACGCTAAAACGCTAAAACCTGCTGAGTCGTGCCAGTGATAGGCTTTGCTGGCACGGAGACAATCCCTTCAGCATCAATGATACTCTCTCTGCTCAGGCGAGTGGCGAACTTCACCATCTGCGGGCTCACCAGATCCTGCGCCACATTCAAGACGCAGTGCACCGTAAACCCCCTCTCCCTCACCACCAAGAACGCCACATTCTTACCCACGGCCCCGATCGCCTGCGCGGCCCCCCGTATCAGCACCTCCTGATCCTTCAGCCCGGCGGCCAGGTCCTTCACCTCCGTCCACTTCTTCCCGGAGATTTCCTTCGACAGCAGGTCGTTCAACGGGATCTCGCCGTAGTTTGCCGCCAATGGGTCGGCTTCGATGGTCACGGAGGATACTGCGGCGGTGGCAGAGGCTGCGGCCGCCTCCAGACGCTTGCGCTGGCGCTCCAGCTTGGCGAGCTCCTTCTTGGACAGGGGGTTCTCCTCTTCGGGAGCTGGGGATGGCTCCTCCGACGACATGGGTTGGTTATGGAAGAGACGATTGAGGCGGGAATGTTTGGAAAAATGGGTGTATGGCTGGTGAATTTTCTTCGCTAGGTAAATAGAGAATGGGAGATGAAACTGTTGAGGGCACAATTTTACTGCTAGGGTTGCAATGTTTTTATTTATAAGTTTTTTAAAAGAGGATGAATCGATATCTAGGGCCTGCAATTTTAGTCCAATGGATTTTCGAACTACTATGAACTAGTATAGTTTGATTTCTAACATAATAGGAGTACTCACAAAGAGTACTCTTTTCTTATAGTCTCGAGTTACTCTCTTTTTCACTCTCTTTTCGACAAAGACTAGTATGAGTCCCGTGTAGTGTATGGGTAAGAGATATTCCTTAATATTTATAAATTAAAATTTTTTATCAAATAATATTTATAAATTAAAAATATAGAATCAATATGTAATATAATATACCTATATTAATTTATTGAAAATGTTATATAAAATTTAAATTGTGCGAAATTACATAAAATAAATATTTAAAATTAGTATACAACTCGTGTGGTGCACATAACTGATAATAAATTACATTATATTTGTTTCAAAATAAGTATCATTTCAAAAATTTTATTCAAAAAATTGATTTAACTATATGTGATTCCATAAAATAGTTATTTTGGTAAAATGTTATCATATATTTAACAACCTATGTGAAAAATAAGTATAAATATAAAATATATATATATATAGGGAGTGGTTCAAATAAAAACCTTTTCTGGTGTGAGAACCGTGAGAACCATATTTGATGCTACTTTTAATTGTGTATGATGCTATTTTTAATCTTACATGGTGCTATCATTTTTACAAATGCTAAGTTGCTATTTTTAATAAAATACATCCTGATTAAAAATAGCACTAAATACAATCAATCATAGCACTACAAACAATTGAATATTTTGTTTACGTCCAAGTTAATATTGACCCGTAAGTTATGAATAATTATATTTTATTTTTAAATTTAAATAATTTTATTTATTTTTTAATATATTATATACCAAATTTAAACCATGTAACTAATAAAGGTAATAGCTGCAAGTTTTGTCAATATATTATATTCCAAATTTAAATCATGCAAGGTAATAGCCGCAATATTTGACCAAAATGATTCTGTACATTAATTTAGGCGGGATTTTTTAAATTTTGGCAAAAAATATTACTCAATATAGTAAATACTTTAGACGGGAAATCAAATATTTTTTTGCTGATTTTTAGTTGCTATTTCAAGTAAATATCATTGCTTCTTTATATATTAATAGATTTCAAAATTTTAATTAGGTTAAAATACTATTTACTTTGTTAATTAGATCAGTGTAAATAATTATTTGAGACCTGAATGTGATATTTTATATGCAAATTTAACTTTTTAACTATAGTGGACGTTTGCACAGTTTGCTGTTTTAGAATTTTTATTTTATCAAATCTCTATCAATAGTTTCAATATTTTCAAATTATGTTTCCTTTAGGATTGTGGATTTGCTATTGTTATGTTGATACCAAATTTTGGCCTCGCCTATTAAAATATTACACGTAGATATGTATAATATCTATTATTTTATTTTTGGGCCTTAAATAATACCGCTTGTGATAATATCGGGCCCATTAAACATATATATAAATACCTCGATGATACAGGAGAGGGCGGTGCCTGAGGAATGAGGAATTCTCTCCCTCATCTTTCCTGAAACATGGCTCGTCTTCTCCAATTGATTTCTTGATATATACATACATAATTTTTTCTGCTTTATGAAGAAGAACGCAAGCGCCTGCGGGCTATCTTCTTCTTATTTAATTTCTTACACAATAATATACAGAAAATTCTCTGAAATTCACCAAAAAATCCAATACAAATAAATACACAATAAATTCCTCTGAACCCCCATGTTGATCAATTTTCATGCATCAACAGTTTGGCGCTGGGCCGTAAATTATTCGGGTTAATCTTCGCCGCAACAATGGCGACATATCAACCGAAAACAAGACTACACCACGTTAGTCTTCTTCAAAACTTATCCTTCAGTACAAAAAATTCTGCAAGAAAATGAAAGTTGCAGAGTATGAGTAGCAGATGAGACAAAGAAGAAAACAGTTTCACTTGCACATGAACAAGACAGAATCCCACCGTCTCCACGACTCTGTCTTTTATCACCAAAAAAAAAAAAACAAAGNTAAAATCAATCGAGGAAGTTCAGAGGATCCGCAACAAATACTATCTGACCGGACGGAGACATCCTGATAGCAAGGCTCAACGCCACCGTCAGCACCGGTCATAAAAAAAAAAAAAAATATAAAGGCAAAATCAGTAGGCGAAGTTGACGGCACCGCTTGGGAACGGTCGGTGGTCTCACCGACAGGAAAATTTCAGTAAAAATACACGTTGTCTCTGCCATAGCAATACACGTGGACGTTGCCGCTCAGTCTCACGGGCCCCACTCCATCTTTATCGAAAATACCGAATTCGTTTGGGGCCGACCTTATCACTGACAGTCAGGACCGACCCCGCAACAAACTGAGGTCTAACCTCGTCGTTTACCGACGAGCTTCAAAGTCACATCTCGGTCTTCAACCTCAAATCATAGTGTGGCCGATCCGGAACATCCCCGAAACAGCCCAAAATAGCTCGAAAGACCTCGAAACACCTCGAAACATGATGTCGATCGTCGGGATCCGACTTCACTTCTACGACCTCGGTACTGTTACCGACCTCAAAGATAAGCTGACTTCACCGAGATTCGACTCGAATCAATGACCGACTTCAATTGCAATGGCCGACCTCAATTGTCGGTGCCTACCGACTTCAAATTCGGGGTCACGTCGGGGGCTGAATTTCCGACCTCATAATCGGGGTCTGACCATACAACATCACCGACCGACTTCGTCTTCTAGGGCCAACCGCTGAGCTGGGGCCGATCTCAGACTAGACCTGACCTCAATAATGGGCCGACATCGGCACCTCAGCGAACCGACCTCGTAGGTCATCGAGGACCGACTTTCTTTCTCCGACTTCAAAATACTGACTTTAGCCCGGAATTGAACGACCGATGTCACAGGCCAATCCCGACTTCAGTTCGGGATCGGCGACAAGCCGTCGACCTCCCAAAATGGGCTAACGTCGCCAACTTCAATAAATTGACCACCGACTTACTTCGGAGATCGACCTAAACCTGCCAGCATCGGTAAACAGAGCACCGTCAAACCATTCGATGGGCCCCGACTAAAACTGGCTTGCATCAACTGGCCGAATTCACAACGGCCGACACCTGAATTGTAAATCACGAATCCATAATTCATCCACTACCAGAACAACATTCCGATCCGCCCAACCAGCTCAAAACTTCAGGTCCACCTTTTGTCACTTCCGGTCTATTTCACGTCATAACCGTCGGACTCTCAAATCGCAGCCGAACCTCGGATCTCCATCTCTAGTACCGAAAATCCTTGATGACGAGACAAAATAAAATAAAATAAAATAAAAGCCGTTCGACGGAATCGTTGAATCCAAGGCCGTCCTTTGAAAAATTGCCGAACCGACGAGTTGTATTCTTGCCGGCAATTTTGTAAAAAGAAAAAAGAAAGAAAAAGAAATGAAATCAAATCAAAGACGAAACTGAGAGAGAGACGCTGAGCACATATCCGGATAAGGAGTTTCAACAAGGGAAAAAGTTTCTACCCTACGTGTTGAGCTTTCGGGCTTAGTAAAATTGTTTAGTGTGGGCTGATAAAGTAGAAATTGGAATGGGCCATCAAATGAAGTAAGTGAGTTGAAATTGGGCTGGAACCTGGTGTCTATTAAAGCAATTGCTATAGCGTATATTCTAAACCGATTCGCGGCTCGAGTTGATCAACCACAATCGAGGTGAACACATTACCATTTAGTATGTCGGAAGCTGCGAGCGGAAAATTATTCAAAATCGGCTGACGTGTCAACCGAATTCATTTATCAATGCCGGGGCCGGATCAACTAATCTATGACGAGGTCGAGCTCATTTATTAAAATCGAAGTCGAACTCATTTACTGGGGCAGAATTCCCTTACCTATGACAGGGTCGAGCTCATTTATCAATGCCGAGGCTGAATTTATTTATCGACGCCGGAGCCGACTTCATTTATCTACGCTAAAGCTGAAGTCACTTATTCATTTGTGACGCCGATATATTTTGCTCACCGTGAGTCACGATTCTGGCTGAACCGACGTCCTATTATTGCTCGCCGTGAGCCACGTCTCCGGCTGAGCCGACGTCCTATTATTGCTCGCCGTGAACCACGACTCCGGCTGAGCTGACGTCCTATTATTGCTCGTCGTGAGCCACGACTCCGGCTGAGCTGACGTCTTATTATTGCTCGCCGTGAGCCTTGACTCCGGCAGAGCTGATATTTACATTTTCTCGCTGTTGAGCCTCAACTCCGGCTGAGTTAACGCATATATTACCTCGTCGTTGAGCTCTTGCTCTGACTGAGAGGGCTTCTATATTTTCTCGCCGTTGAGCCTTGACTCCGGCAGAGCTGCTATTTGTATTTTCTCGCCGTTGAGCCTCTGCTCTGGCTGAGCCCACACTGGCTAGGCAAAGTCAATAATGTTGGGTTCGATAGTACCGTACGGGCTGTACGCAGCGGAATTTAAAATTTTTAAAGTAAGTATTTATCGTATAAATACAACACCCGTACATACTAATTGCAAATTAACTGATCGTCATCTTTAAAACATGCATCATATACAAATTTTGATTTGTTACTATAAAGTAAATACTAGTAAAAATATTTACCGAATTTCTTGAACTCCTTCACTATTGATGATGGATGAGGGAATCGGTTCCCGGTTGTAACTTCAACGACTTGAGGTTACTCGCTAGAGGAATCCAAGTGTCTTCCCTCTAAACGTATCCACCCTATGAAGCCCGGTTCCGACGACTTTCCTTCGCTAGTAGAAAAGACTCGGTTTTCTTGTATAGGAATATTTATGAATTTTATTTGGGAATTTTAAGAACTCTTTCTTGAAGTTTTATGAAGAACACTTTCTTCTCTTTCTAACACTTAGAAATTTAGG